GAGAGAAAGAGAGAGAGAGGGAGAAGAGAGAGAGAGAGAAAAACGAGAGAGATAGAGAAATCTATAGAGAGAAATCAACACCAACATATACATATAAACAGAAATAGAAAGAAAGAAAGATAACATGAGAGAAAGAGAAGGAGAGAGAGAGAGATATAATGAGAGAGAGAGAGAGAGAGAGAAAGAGAGAGAGAGAGAGAGAGAGAGAGAGAGAGAGAGAGCGAGAGATAATGCAAGAGCGAAGGGCTGATGGTGAGGGAGTGGGGTAGGGGGGGGGGGGGGGAGGGGGAAGGGAACAACTGAGAAAGAGGATGGCACTTGGCTTCTTGCCGAATGCATGCTGGTTGCTGTCCAAGATACCTGCAGACTGGCTTCCGCCCGTTTCTGCTCGGCTTCCGCACAGTCTCGTTGACGAAGCATGGTTCCATCAATTGCCGCAGATGTCCCGCTCGTTCTCGCAAGGCGCAAGAAGAGATATTCATGGGTATCATTAGCTGGGATGGGAAGTCACCCGGACAATGATACCACCCCACCCGTAAATTCCCCCGCCACATCAGGAGTTCGGGGAGACGAGGAAAGATACATTTTAAGTAGGTGGAGGAGGATGGTGGAGCAGGGGATGGTGAGGATGGCGAAGACGATCGTAATGACGACGACGACGGTGACGATGACGACGGCGACGATCAGGGTGATGAGGCTGCTGATGGTGATGATGATGTACATGATGATGAGGATGATGCTGATGGTAATGGTGGGGGTGGTTGTGATGATGGTGGTGGTGCTGCTGCTGCTGCTGCTGATGATGATGATGATGATGATGATGATGATGATGGCGGTGCTGACGATGATGATTATGATGATGATGCCGATGATCGTACAAACGTTTCTGATGATGCTGCTGAGGGTGATGACGGTGATGTTTGGTTGGTGGTGATCGTCATGATTGCGCTGCAGCTGACGATGATGGTGATGACGAATATGACGATGATGATGACGATGATGCTGATGATGATAATGATGAAGATGATGATGCCGGTGATGATGATGATGATGATGATGATGATGATGATGATGATGATGATGATGATGATGATGATGTTGCTAGTTTGTAATGACGATGATGCTGGCGGCGACTGTGATCATGTTGACTGACGGTGTTGATGTTTATGATCATGCTGATGCTGATGTTGATCATTCTGACGATGATGATGGCGACGATGGTGTGGTTGTGGTAGTAGTTGTACTTATTGTAGTGGTAGTGATGGCGGGGACGCTGATGATGGTGATGATGACGATGACGATGATGATGATGACGATGACGTTGGCGATGATGATGATGATGATGATGATGATGATGATGATGATGATGATGAAGAAGAAGAAGAAGAAGAAGAATAATAAGAAGATGATGATGATGATGATGATTCTGATGATGATGATGCTGATGATGATGACGATGATTATGATGATGGTGGACTTGTTGATCATGATGCTGATGCTGATGATGATGATGCTGATGCCGATGATGATGGTGTTGCTGATGATACTTATAATTATGATTATGATTAAAATGATGATGATGATGATGATGATGATGATGATGATGATGATGATGGTGATGATGCTGCTGATGATGAAGATGATGATGGTGATGGTGGTAATGATGATGCTGCTGCTGCTGCTGCTTTTGATCCTCCTTCTCCTTCTCCTCCTCCTCCCCATGATCATCATCATCATCATCATCATCATCATCATCATCACCATCACCATCACCATCATGGCGAGGACAACGAGAACGAGGAGGAGTACGGAAACGACGAGGACAACGACGATGACACCGACGAAAACGACGACGAAGAGGAGGAGGAGAATGAAGAGGAGGAAGAGAAGAATGATGGTGGTGGTGGTGATGATGACGACGATGCCGACGAAGATGACGAGGGCGACGGTGCCGCGGAAAAGGGTGTTGTTGATGTTGATGTTGAAGTTGATGTGCATGCTGTTGTTGATGATGATAATAAGGATGACGATGAGGATGAGGATGATAATGACGATGATGATAATGATGATGATGACGATGACAATTCTGAGGATGACGCTGATGTTGATGATGATGGTGATGATGATGATGATGATGATGATGATGATGATGATGATGATGGTTATGCTGGTGCTGATGATGATAATGAGGATGATTATGATGATGATCATGGTGGTGGTGATGATGATGATGACGATGATGCTGCTGCTGATGATATGATGATGATGATGATGGTGGTGGTGGTGGTGGTGATGATGATGATGATGATGATGATGATGATGATGATGATGATGATGATGATGATGATGATGATGATGATGATGATGATGAACAGCATGCTGATGATGGCAAGGATTTTGTTGATGGTGATGGTGGTGCGCCGCGGACGCTCGCGGGGTGGCCTGGGTGGATTAGCGCGGCCTTCTGGGCCCTTTCTCCCTCGACCCCCGCCCGCCCCCCTGCCCCGCCCTCCGCCGCCCTCGCCGCCGCCCTCCGCCGCCGCCGCCGCCGCCGCCGCCGTCGTCGTCGTCTTCGTCGTCGTCGTCGTCGTCGTCGTCTCCGCGCCATGCCTTCCCCTAGGGGTGGTGAGGACGCGGGGCGAAAAAGCGCCCCCGGACCACCAGGGCTCGGCCCGTCGTAAGAGGTGGTCCTCGGGATGGGGCCTAGAGGTCCAGGGGCCGATGCGACGACGGGTCGCCCAGGGTCGGTTCCTTGCGCCGCTCCACCCCCCCGCGCCCTTCTCCCGTGTGGTGTGGGGACGGGGTCGGGATTTAGGATCGACGCAGGAGCGAGGCTTTCGGGTGTCGCCGGGCTTCCTGTGGGCCTCCCGGGGCGACGCAGCGGCCAGGGCGCACCACCGAACGGGCGCAGGGTCCGATTTTCTGGGGGAGGTGTGCGAGCAGAAGCCGCCCCTGAGTTGCTCCGCCTCCTCCCCCCTCCGCGGCCGCCCTGTCCGTCCTTTCCCCTCCTCCTGCACGCTGGACAATTCGCTTCTCGGGGCCCCCGTTTAGCCTTATCGCTGGTGCAGCCAGTCTTCCTCGCCGCCGACGAAGAAGTGTGCGAGCAGAAGCGCGGTTGTTGATGCCCGAGGGGATTTAGCATTTGCAGGTCCGCTTCGGGCCGTCGGCCATCGGATCACCCAGGCTATGGATGGTTTCGTAAAGTTGAGAATCGGATTTGGCGGCCTTCTGCGGGACTTGAAGGTGTGTTCGAAGTTTTCCGGAAGCTCCCGACCGGGGCTGATGGGAGGAGGGGTGATGCTGCTGCTGCTGCTGCTGATGATGATGATGATGATGATGGTGATCCTGGTGGTGGTGGTGATGGTGGGGACGACACTGATGATGCTGACGATTGATGATGATACTGATGGTGATGCTAGTGATGGTGATGGTGACGTTGATGATAATTGTGGTGATGGTGTCTGGTGAGGAAGGAGACGAATCACGATACCATTCATAATAATAATATCCGTCATACTAAGAAACACGCTAACAGAACGAGGAGGAATATTTCTTTTGATCATAACGATACTAATATTTTCCCGACGAAGAATAATGCTATTGTGAATATTCCTGAGAAGAAGGCGAAGACGACGAATACTAATGATGCTAATAGCGGCAACGCTAAACATAGTTTCAGCAGTCGTAATACTCAGACTGCTGCAAAACGGGCGCATTTGTTTCAAAGGTAAACGTAATAGCAATACGCGTACTTACAATACTATCGTTAGTAATACTCATGATAGTAATAACACTATTAGTCATACTATTAAAAGTTACCAGTAATAGCTGTAGTAATACTAAGAACACTAGCAATGATAACACGACGAAATAACACGACACATCGGACTACTACTAACCCTGGGGCATAACGCACACAGGAACAACTACATTGAATCAATTCATAGGTATACAATGGAAACCACACATACATAAGTAGATAAAGCAATCCGTACATCGATACCTGCGTGCATAGGTTATCGCAAGACTCGTAAGACGGAAAAGACGGCGGCAGCGGCGGTGACGGCGACGACGAAGACCACGAAGAGTAGGAGGAGGAGGAAGAGGAAGAGGAGAAGGAACACGAGGATGAGGAGGAGGAGGAGGAATACGAGGATGAGGAGGAGGAGGAGGAATACGAGGAGGAGGAGGAGGAGGAGGAGAGGTGGAATATGGATACCAGGCGTATGATTGAGAAGAAGGATGAAGGGGGAGGATCCTATGAGAGTGTGGTACTACCTCGAGGTGAGGCTTTGTTCGCCACAACAAACGCATCAGATCGACTAATCCTCCCGGTCAGGGAATCCTCCTGCCGTAACCGACGATGTTCTCAGGCAAATGCTTCAACATGAGATGCATTGATCATCCCATGCAATGTCGTCACCTCGAAATTCACCAGATGCGGAGGCAGCACGACTCCGCATCTGACGAATCGGCACATTCCCCCAGCCCGTCCTCGAGACCGCCGCTGAGCGACGGCAGCAGGTTGGATCATTGGTCCCGAAGCGCCTAAGACGGCGCGCTGACCTGGGCAGTGAAGGTGTTCAGGCGGCCTGGGAACTGAAGCTTGCGGAGGCGGGCTCGCTGCGTCCTAAGCCCTGGGCTCGGCTCCCAATGCATCTCGCATCGAGCCTCTTCCCCTTGCAACTGCTTTTTGCCATGGAGGCTCACAGACCTTTTAACAACAGAGTCTGCAGCCCTTCCGAGACAGGGTCACCCCCAGGTACAGGCAGGACGTTGGCTTGAACGACAGAGCGACCGTTGAAACGCCAAGGGCTCCCCGAAAGCTCAACCACGTCGGGCTCGGCTGGGGGGGGGGGGATGGAGGGAGAAGGAGGCACAGGCAGAGGCGGAGCAGGAGGAGGAGGAGGAGGAGGAGGAGGAGGAGGAGGAGGAGGAGGAGGAGGAGGAGGAGGAGGCTGCTGGCCAGGGTGGGCCGCTCCCTGGGGGGAGCACGCCAGGAGACGCCGCAGTGGTACGCCTCAGGCACGGCGCTTTGCTCTCTCCCGACCTCCCGACCTCCCGCGTCCTTCCTACAGATGCCGTCCGATCCGTCTCAAAGCGCATCCGTTTTCCCGGTCGCAGAGGCGAGCTTCGCTTGACGACCAGTGCTTGGTGGTCCCCAAACGTGGTCGTGAGAACACCCGGTGGTGAGTTTTGGGCGATTCGGGTAATGGTTTTCGAGCGCTGGGTGGCCCAGGAAACGCAAAACCTCGTGGCGACCGCGTGTCCCCAAACCCGGTGGTGACCCAGAATTACTTTTTGGAGGAATCGGGGTCACCACCGGGTGTCTCACCACCTGGTTTGGAGACCACCAAAGTGCATGTGCGGTTCCTTTTCTGAGCAATTCGAGCAGCGCGTGGAATGTTTCGAGGTCGGGTGGTGCGGAGCGGAACGCTCCCACTGTCGTGCAAGGGTAACGTGGCGTGGCTTGTGTTGCTGTGCTGGGGGAACTCAGGCGGGGACGCTCAATGCAGGCTGAAGGGAAGTTGGATAGGTGCTTCAGGCTGATTCAGGGGTGGTGGAGGGGAGGTAAGGGGGATGCTAGCGGGTCGTGTCGGCTGTGGTGGCAGCGACGATAACGTCGACGGTTGCGTTTGGGACGACAAAAGCGGCGACGGCGGCGACGACGAGGCGACGGCGGCGGCAAAAGTGGCTAGGATACCCTTACGTTGGAACCCTGACAGTTACTGGATTGTATTCCCCGGGGGACGGCGGACTGGGTGATGTATGTGCGATGGGCAGCGCTTCGGGATTACCGAGCCGTGTTTTAGTTGGGAAGGGTCGTCCCGCCGGTCGCACTCACGCATTCGCGATATGTATATATATATGTATAGATATGCATATATAGATGTATTTGTACATCTATACGAGAAGTTCTTCGTGGGCATCCCGCGCAGTCCTTCCACACCCTCCTTGTACCCTCTTCTCCTTTCCACTCATCGTGATCACTATCACCAGCATCACCACTATTATCGTCGCACCACCACCGTCTTCATTATCATTCTCACCATCCCGCCACGATCATCGGCCATCGATCGTCACCATCATCATCACCACCATCATCATCACCATCATCATCATTATCATCATCGGCATCATGATCATCAGCATCAGCATCAGCATCATCACCATCATGCCCGTCAGCATCATCACAAGCACACATAATCATTGCACACACCCATTCGCACACACACACAAAAACACCACACACACACTTATCACACTCACCTTGAGGAAGTCTCGAGCGGCAGCTTCGTCTGTGAGTGAGTAGCGAGGAAGTCTCAGGCGGGAGCCCTCTCCCTTTGCGGCCAGCACCTCAGGTTTTTAATCAGACGTGGTTCTCCTCAAACCTGTAACCGTCGTCACTTTTGGGCTTCCCAGTCCTGCATATGGCAGAAATCTCGAACGAGAGCCTTGCCTGTGAGTGAATTGCACGGCAGCCTCAGGCGGGAGCCCTCTCTGCGTGGGGACCGCAGATCATATGATGATGATGATGATGATGATGATGCTGATGATGATGATGATGATGATGATGATGATGATGATGCTGATGATGATGATGATGATGATGATGATGATGATGCTGATGATGATGATGCTGCTGATGATGATGATGGCGATTATGATGCTGATGATGATGCTGATGCTGATGCTGATGATGATGAGGATGAGGATGATGATGATGATGATGATGATGATGATGATGATGATGATGATGATGATGATGATGATGATGATGATGATGATGATGATGATGCTGATGATGATGATGATGATGATGATGATGATGATGATGATGATGATGATGATGATGATGATGTTGCTGCTGGTGATGATGCTGATGATGCGGATTATTATTATTACTACTCCGAGCGGGCCATTGAGGTGCTGTAACAGGGACAGCACTTGAGCACCTCAAGGGGGCAACACGTGAGGGTGTCTTGAGCGGAAGCCGAGCCTGTGAGTGAATTGCAAGGAAGTCTCAGGCGGGAGCCCTCTCCCTGTGGGGACCGCAGGTCACAAGAGTAATCCGAGCGGGCCATTGGCGTATTGTAACATGCATCGCACTCGAGCACACTACGTGGGCAAATCGTCAGGATTCCTCGAGCGGAGGCCTCGTTTTTGAGTACACTGCACGGACGTCTCAGGCGGCAACCCCCTCCCTATAGGGCCAGTTGGTCATGTTCGTACTCCGAGTGGGCCATTCACGTATTGTAGCAGGCGTACCACTTGAGCACCCCAAATGTTCACATCGTGAGGATGTCTCGCGCGGGGGCCTCGTCTGTGAGTGGATTGCGGGGAAGTCTTAGGCGGAAGTCCTCTCTCGAAGGTGTCCGCAGGTCATAGTAGTAATCCGCGCGGCTCATTGGCGCATTGTAGCAGGCATGGCAGTTGAGCACCCCAGGAGGGCAACTCGTGACAATGCCTCGAGCGTGGGCCTCGCTTGTGAGCACATTGCAAGCATGTCTCAAGCAGGAGCCCTCTCACCATGGGGACCGCAGTTCATGCTGGGAATCCGAGGGGGTCATCGGCGTACTGTAGCAGGCATCGCAGAAGAGGAGGAGGAAACGGTGGACGAGGAGGAGAACGATGAGGAGGATCAGGAGGAAGATGAGGGTGAGGATGTGGATGAGGATGTGGATTCGGATGAGGATGATACCGAGGATGAGGGTGATGATGAGGATGAGGATGATGACGTTGCTGATAATGATGTTGCTGCTGCTGCTTATGATGATAATGCGGATGCTGATACTGATGATGATGCTGATGATGGTGATGGTGATGATGATGCTGATGATGCTGATGATGATGATGATGATGATGAGGATGATGATGATGATGATGATACTGCTGCTGCTGATGATGATGATGCTGATGCTGATGATGATGCGCCGCAGTGGCGCATCATTATCATCACCATCATCATTATCATCATCAACACCATCATCATCATCATCATCATCATCATCATCATTATCATTATCATTATCATTATCATCATCATCATCATACTATAGGGCCCTCAGTAGTATATTTCTACCAATACATGTTGTGTCACAAATGTGGAGCAATATCGGTGGTTCAATCCATGATGTGCGATACATGCGATGCAATCTATGTGGTGCAATCTATGTGTTGCGACCTATGTTGTGCAATCTATGTTGTGCAATCTATGCTGTGCGGTCTATGTTGTGCACCGTCTGCGGTGCAACATCTGTTGCGCAATTCATGTGTTGCAGTGCACGTGATGCAATCTATGTGATGCAATCTAGGTGGTGCAATATATGCGATGCTATCCAGGCTGTGCAGCATATGCTGTGCAGCATCTGCTGTGCAATCTACGTGGTGCAACCCTTCTGGTGCAATCAATGTGGCATGTTGGCGCTGCGGTCCGCGCCGCGGTCCTCGCGATGGCCCGCTCAAAGGATCGTGCAGGCGGAGGCCGCGGCGGTGACGAGCGTCCTGGTACAGTGCCGTTTTGAATACATGCTCCGCGTGCGGATCATGTATTAAAAATGCATGGCAAAGATGAGTTCATGCATGAATTTATTCCTGAATTAGTCATGTATTAAACATCCGATGTTTTTAAACATCCAATGTGTTAAAAACTGCGCTGTACGGCGTCGGGTAGGGTATCGCGTATGGTGTCGGTAAGGAGTCGGGCAGGGCGTCGGGTAGGGTGTCGGGGAGGGCGTCGCGAGAGGCGTCGGGTAGGGCGGCGGGCAGGGCGCAGGGCCAGGTGTCGGGCTGTTCGTTGTCGGGCACGCCGCGCTTCCCGACGCCGTCGCCGGGCGCGCGAGCCCGCGGCGGACCAGCCCAGCGCGGCGGCCGAGGAGCCCGTGAAGGAGACGGGAACGGGCGCGGGTCTGGCGGGGCGGCCCCTTGGCTCTCTGGTGGGGAAGCTGGTGGTGGCGCTGCGCGAAGCTCGGCGGCCTCGCCGCTGGCGCAAGCGCGCCAATCGGCGTGAGCGGGGGGCGCACCTGTGCGCACGAGCACGGCGAGGCGAGTGCGCTGGGCGACAGCACGGAGACGGGGAGCTGCAGGAGGATCGTCGGACGGGCAGCCTCGCGAGGGCGGGCAGCGAGGCGGCCGTGGGCGGCGGGGGCGTGGCCGGGAGGGCCACCCGCCCCGCGACCCACCCGCGACCCAATCGCGACCCACCCCACGCGCGCGCGCCTTCTTATTCACAACTGTGGGGTGCTACGCACTCTCCCTCTCTGTCTATGCGTTTTTTTGTTGTTGTTTCTCTCTCGCTCTCTCGCTCTCTTTCTCTCTCTCTCTCTCTCTCCCCCTATCTCTCGCTCCCCCCCTCTCTCTCTCTCTCTTTTCAGTGCTTCTCTGCGCTCACTCGTGTCCCGCTCCGATCAGTCTTCAATGCCTCCTCTCCCCCCGTGTCCGCTTTTTTCCGCGCAGTGGTGCTTGCATGTGTATAATATATATATATATACACATACTTGTCGTTGCCCCTAGTCATCTCTACCTGTCACCGCCCTGTCGCTGCCACTTTTCATCCCTCGCCCGTCAATGTCTTCTTTTTGCCTGCGGCGTTCGGCGAGATAATTCCCCTGGCCCATTCCCCCCGTACATGCGGAAAGAGTGACGTCGGGGAGCGTCGGACAAGTGACCAATTTTGATGACATCGGTCGGGGGAAACCGCGCATGACCGAAGGGACACTGGTGTTTTCTGACCTCGCTGCCCTCTCTTTCGGTGCAGCTGTCGCCTGCCAGGCCTTTGGCGCCCCTTTGTGTCGAGCCCTTCAGCGAGTACCGCCCCGCGGTTGAGGAGGAAGCGGAAACGGGTCAGAGGGATGACGAGAAGGAGGAGGAGGAGGAGGAGGAGGAGGAGGAGGAGGAGGAGGACCAGTGTAAATCCAAGAGTGATCAACGATTTTGGAATTAACCCTCCTCTTAATAGGCCCCTACAACGGTTTATTTCCTTTGAGGGAACGGCCTCGTTGGAAGACAACTGTTTGAAGATCCTGAAGCATGCCAAGACATGGTTCTCGGGGTTTCAACGCCACGTATCAGCCTGACTGCTGCGCTTTGACGATCCGGAATCGTGCCATACACACCATTTTTGGGATTTCAACTCCGCGAATCAACATAACCGTTGCGCCCGCATAATGATCCTTCCAAAACACAATTTCTGGTACGTTGATCATGGAAATCCATGAAACGCGTGCAAATGTTGTAGACGAATGTGCGCGGCGCTAAGGCGAGAGCCACATTTTGAAAAGGAACCGCCCTCAATCCGTGAAACCCTGGCACATTTTTAGAACTAAAGTGCGGGGCGCTAAGGCGAGAGCCATATTTTGAAAACGACCCACCCTCAATCCGTGAAGCTCTTGTAAAATTTTAGAGGGAATGTGCGCGGCGCTCAGGCGAGAGCCACATTTTGAAAACGACCCGCCCTCTATCCGTGAAGCTGTTGCAATTTTTGAAAGCGAAAGTGCGCGGCGCTGAAGCGAGGACCACATTTTGAAAACCACCCGCCCTGAAATCGGTGAAATTGTTGTCACTTTCAAAGCTTCAGAGTCATAAATGGTGAGGAAGTCTCAGGCGAAACGCCCGGCCCGCCCTAAAAACTGGCCTCGGGGTGCGACAGGGAGAAGTTATCGATAAGGAGAAGGAATGGAGGACGAGGACGAGGACGAGGACGAGAACGAGGAGGATGAGGAGGAGGAGGAGGAGGATGAGGAGGAGGAGGAGGCGGCGGACTGGGAAAGGAGGAGCGGGGCGGTTAGGACGAGCACAGTGTGGGTGATTCAATTGCAAGGTTGCCTGCTCTGGCCACCTTGGCGGGCCCCACCCCTCTCGGGATGATGCTGCTGATGAAGATGATGAGTATGATGCTGATGATAATGATGATGCTGTTGATGATGATTATGACTATGATGATGATGACGACGATGCTGATGAAGAAGAGGATTATGATAAGGGTGATGATGACGATGATGATGCTGATGTTGATGATGTTGCTGATGCTGTTGATGATGATGATGCTGATGATGATGATGCTGATGATGATTCCGATGATGATAATGGTGATGATGATGATGGTGGCGGTGGTGATGGATTCTTAGGATGAGGATGGGGATGAGGATGAGGATGAGGATGAGGATGATGATGATGATGGTGATGCTGCTGCTGATGATGATGATACTGATGCTGATGCTGTTGATGATGATGCTGATGATGATGATGATGATGATGATGGTAGTGGTGGTGGTGGTGGTGATGATGATGCTGCTGCGGATGATGATGATGATGATGATGATGATGATGATGATAATGATGATGATGATGATGATCCCGATGATGATGATGATGATGATGATGATGATGATGATGATGATGATGATGATGATGATGATGATGATGATGATGATGATGATGATGATGATGATGATGATGATGATGATGATGATGATGATGATGATGATGATGATGATGATGGATGATGGATGATGGTGATGGTGATGGTGATGGTGATGGTGATGATGATGATGATGATGATGATGATGATGATGATGATGATGGATGATGATGATGATGATGATGATGATGATGATGATGATGATGATGATGACGATGATGATGATGATGATGATGATGATGATGATGATGATGATGATGATGATGATGATGATGATGATGACGTTGGTGGTGATAATGATGCTGATGCTGATGGTGATGGTGATGATGATGGAGGAGGAGGAGTTAGAGGCGGAGGCGGAGGCGGAGGAGGAGGAATGATAATAATACTCATTATATTCATAAGCAGCACAATAATGATGATACTAATAAGAATAATACAACTAATCGCAATAACAATAGTAGTAATAATAGTACTACTACTACTACTACTACTACTACTACTACTACTACTATTACTACTACTACTACTACTACTACTACTACTACTAGTACTACTAGTACTACTAGTACTACTACTACTACTACTACTACTACTACTACTACTACTACTACTATTACTACTCATACTCATACTACTAATACTAATACTAAGGATAAGAAGCATACTAAGGGGACGGCTACGAATACTAATACTACTAGTTCTAGTAATAAGAAGAATATTAATACTAAGTAAGCATCATAATAATAAGGCTAGTACTCATCAGAATAATAAGAGCATTAACACGACTAATAAGACGAACATTAGTACCAATACTACTAATACTATGAATAATAAGAAGAAGGCGAATACTCATACTAATAAGAAGAGGAGGAGGAGGAGGAGGAGGAGGAGGAGGAGGAGGAGGAGGGAGGAGGAGGAGGAGGAGGGGAGGGAGGGGGAGGAGCAGGAGGAGGAGGAGGAGGAGGAGGAGGAGGAGGAGGAGGAGGAGAAGGGAGGAGGAGGAGGAGTGAGGAGGAGGGAGGAGGGAGGAGGAGGAGGGAGGAGGGAGGATGGAGGATGAGGAGGAGGAGGATAGTGGAGGCCACCCTCGCCCCTTCCGATGGGGCGATGGGCGAGAGTGGGGACGGGGGGCGCCGAGGCAGCTTCCTGCTTGGTCTCCCCCCCTCCCTCTCTGCCCCCTAGCTATCCCCCCTCTCCGCCTCCGGCGCCCCCCCCCCGCTCTCCCTCTCTCCCCCTCCCCCTCCCCCCCACTTTCCCCCCCGCTCTCCCCCCCCGCTCCCCCCCTCTCCGCCTCCGGCGCTCCCCCTCCCCTCCCCTCTCCCCCGCTCCCCGCTCCCCGCTCCCTCCCCTCGCACACTCGGAGCTTACGATGACCCCCGGAGAGCTCCAAGGCCTTCGGAGGCCTTCCCCGTCCTTCACCTTCCCCCTCCCCCCCGTCCCCCCCCTCTCCCCCCCCCTCGGGCTGCGCGCTCTCGAGGTACCCTCCCCTCGGGCGCTTCTCCGTGAACGACCAGAAGGCGACCCCGCCTTTTGCCCTCCCTTGCCGCCTCCGACCGGGCGCCGGCGAGGGGGGTCGCTCCCGGTCACCCTGCGAGGAGGGCTCAAACGAGGAGGTCGTCTTCCTCATCCCTCTCAGATACCCCCTCTCCTCCTCCTCCTCCTCCTCCTCCTCCTCCTCCTCCTCCTCCCCCTCCCTCCTCCTCCTCCTCCTCCTCCTCCTCCTCCTCCTCCTCCTCCTCCTCCGCTACTTTGTCTAGGTAATATTCCCAGGAAGGCCGAGGCTTGGGACGCGTCGGCCACCGCCGCCCTCTCTCTGGTCGGCGGTTGGGGGGGAGGGTACCGAAACGCGCCCAGAGGCCAGCAAGGCATGAGGGTGCAATCCCGACTTGTCCGGCTGATGATTTGGGGAGGGCCTGAGCTCGGGGGAGGCTGCAGCACCGCTCAACGATGTGTTGCTTAACCGAACCTGCAGGGTAGGCCCCTTCTCTCTGCTCGGTTCCAGCGGGGCCTCTTCAGGCCTCCATGCTGAAGCGCCTCCTCCTCCTCCTCCTCCTCCTCCTCCTCCTCCTACTCCTCTCGTCAGGCTTCCCCCCCTCCCTCTCGTTGTCCTCTTCCTCCTGCTGCTCCTCCTGCTCCTCCTGCCACTCCTCCTCCTCGACGCGTGTGTAGGCAAAGAATCGTTCTTACGTCACTGGACGGTATGTAAGGGATGAAGTTTGTTGGATGCAGTCGCAGCGTGCGAGCTATGGGGAGCAACTCGCCCACGGGGTGAACCGTGTGGGTTAACACGTGCAGTCAAAACCGGTGTTAAGGATGCGCTCTTATCTCAAGAACACCTTGCATCCTTCGGTTCGGGCTATCCTTGGCTCGCTCTTGCGCGCGCATCCGTGGCCTTCGCGCCGTTCCAAGGGTCTTGCATTCTGGAGTCCATGCTCATCGCTGATCTTGACGGTATGGTGGGTCACCGAGATATGTGTGTGTGTGTGGGTGGGAGTCATTGCGGTGTGCAAGCAGTAAGGCGCAGCCTGTGGGGCTGCAGGGTGCAGCCTTCCTGCGCGCAGCCCGAGGGCAGAACGTGCCAGGCCAGGAGCTGTAGGAGGCGAGGCCGGAGGAGCAACGGCCGAGGGCCACAAGAGAGGGGTGGGGGCTCGGGGCCACATCGGGGACAGCCCCGGGATCGAGCGCCGTGGTTACCTCCTCCTCCTCTTTCTCCTCCTCCTCCTCATTCTTCTCCTTCTTCTCCTCGTCCTCCTCGTCCTCCTCCTCCTCCTCCTCCTCCTCCTCCTCCAAGGTGTCCTTCCCCCCCCTCATCCCGCCTCGGCCTCGTTCCTCATCTTTCCCCATCGTTCCCCATCGCTCCCCATCGCTCCCCATCGTTCCCCACTGTTCCTCATTGTTCCTCATGGTTCCTCAGCTCGAACGCTACCCGAGCCCCCCCCCTCCTGACGCGCGACACGACCGGGCCACCCGCTACGCGCTGCCCAGAGCCTGGGCCCGCCGCCGTTTCTGCTCACGGCCTGGTCAGGATCCGCGCACGAAGTGGGCGCCGCCCTCGACCGTGCGCAGCGACGACGCCTCGACGAGCTCCACGCCGCGCGGCCAGCGCTGGAGCTCGCGGGGCTGGCAGCAGGGCGAGCAGAGCGACGTCGGGCCGTACACAGTGTCGGACAGGCAGCCCTGGACAACCCTGCTCCTGCACTGGCCGCAGCGCCTGCCGAGCCTCCGCCAGCCGCGCGTTTTCACTGGCGACGACATGGGACATCCCCTCTGCCTCGAGGCTTGCCAGCACGGCGAGAGGGTGATGCGCTCGCGGGGCCGCCGCAGCTTGCACCGCGCATGCGATCTGCAGCCTGGTTCGGAAGGCAGACGCTCGCACCCCGGTCCGCGCAGTGCGGCTTCCTGGTCCGCGCAGCGCGGCTTTGAGAGAGCTGCTCGCGCTATCCTGCTCCCGTTATTTTCCTCGTGAGTTGACAGGAGGGGTTCGATTCCAGGGGGGCCGTCCAGGGGGGGGCCCCGGCGGGGCCCGTCAACGGAGGCGCTTCCGAAACCCGTTCACAGAAATGCCGCTGGGACGCCTTAACAGGAGCCATTTTGGAACCCTTCTGCGGGCGCACCGCACCTTCGGGTCCGAGGCAAATTGTGTGAACATGGCCGGACATTGACGGGAACGCTGCCCCAAATTGCTGGGAGTGCCGTGCCAGATTAACGGGGGCGTGGCCCCAGATTAGTGTGAGCATGGCGTATGACGCTCATGAGGACCCCCGATGACGATGGTGATCGTGTTGAGGGTCAGACAGTACGAGTGCCTTCACCTGGCGCGCCCGCTCCCAAGTGAAGCCCTTGCGACCCTGTGGCAACAATCGCTCCGCCCGGGCCAGCTCCTCCTTGTATTTTTTTGCACTTGCGTCCGTGAACACAAATAAAGCCGTCGTCGGCCATCAACCAGATACGATAGTAGTGCTCGAGCCGACGGGGAGCTCCTCCTCGCCTTGTCCTCCTCATCCTCACCCTCCTCTTCTTCCTCTTCCTCCTCCTCCTCCTACTACTACTACTCCTGCCAAGTCCTTTCACCATTTTCTTCCCGCCCCCATTATTCTCTGCTGTCATCGGCTAAGGCTCCGAGCCAGGGGCCCACGCCTTCCTCGCGCAAGTCCCGCCGCCTTCGGATCAGTGGCCAACCAGGGCGGACTTTCAGGATGATGCCTCCACAAGTCCTTGATAACACATCCTTCCTGCAGGGGAAGCTGCTTCCAGCAGTGGGTTTTGGTACAAGGGACTTTGATGATTGCCTCCTCCTTCAAGGTGGGCTTAGGTTCCCTGAGAGCCTATTGCATACTTGGCAGTCTTTACCTCCTCCTCCTGCTCCTCCTCCTTCTCCTCCTCCTCCTCCTCCTCCTCCTCCTCCTCCTCCTCCCCCTCCCCAATGGCCTCTTCTCTTCCCCCCTGCCTCTTCCTCCCTGCCTCCCTGCCTCCCTCGCTCACGGAGCCTGCTCCCAGAGGTGCAGCGCACGGCCGATCTCGACCGTGTGCTGCCCCCCGCCACCGCAGCTTCTCGGAGCCGCCTGCTCCCGAGGAGGTCCTCGGCCAGCCCTCGGGGTCGGTGCCTTGCCGCGCCGAGTCAGCCGCAGACGAGACCGTCCGCGCGTTGGCCCTCCGCCCTCGCCCTCCTCGCCGCCCTCGCCGCCCTCGCCCCCCCCCCTCCTCGCCCTCCTCTCCCCCTCGCGGTCCTCCTGCTCCCCTGCGCTGTCCCCCCCCCTAGACCCAGACGTCCGACCGATGCTTTTTTTTGTTGTCGCGGGGGCAGTCTTCTCGGCCTGCGTCGTCTAGCTGGTGGCCCCGAGGTCGACAGATTGGCAATAGCTTCCCGTCGTGCTCTTTCGTGCACGACGCGAGGATGTCAGGCGTTCAGGCCATAACTCCGGCCTCCAGCGGCGGATCGTGACGATCTGGGCACCCCGAGATCGCGCTCGACGAGGCTCAGCTGCTGGAAGGCATCCGGAGGCGATAACGCGATTGAGAACCAACGAAAACGTCAGTCTTTCCTGGGCTGCGGTCTGACCAGAATTACCAGGCGGATCCAGCCGTGGCCACGAGGGCGCCCCATGACGATCAAAGACGTCCAGAAAGCCTGACCTCGAACCTCGACCTTCCGAAGCTCGATCCCCGATCCCCTCGAACCCTTGACCCTGAAGAACCCAGGAGATCGCCAACTGCCGCCCAGTGCCTCTGCCCAGCTGCCCATGTCCTGCACGGAGGGCATGCGACTTTCACTTGTGTTTGACCTCCGCCCCTTCCACCCGTCCCCAGCGGCTTTGATACGCTTCGGGGTTGATTCGTATCGGCCCACTCTGTGCTTCAGGCCTCCGCGTGCAGCTCTCCGACAACTGTTGCGTGGATCGGTTGTGCACGTGCTCTGGCACGTCTCCCATCACCACTACCATAGTAGGACAGGGAGGAGGAGGAGGAGGAGGAGGAGGAGGAGGAAGGATGAGGGAGGAGGGGGGAGGGAGGACGGAGGAGGGAGGGAGGAGGGAGGAAGGAGGAAGGAGAAAGGAGGAAGGAGGAAGGAGGAAGGAGGAAGGAGGAAGGAGGAAGGAGGAAGGAGGAAGGAGGAAGGAGGAAGGAGGAAGGAGGAAGGAGGAAGGAGGAAGGAGGAAGGAGGAAGGAGGAGGAGGAGGAGGAGGAGGAGGAGGAGGACCTCTCCAGGGACTTCGCGCGCTCCGAGCGTGCTCCCCTTCCCCTTGCGCGCGCGCGGCCCTCCGGTCCGCCTCCTCCTCTCTCCTCCGCCCGTCGTGCCCCACTTCGGCCCCGTTGCAGCCCGCGGCTGCCCCCGAACGTGGCGAGGGCTCTCGCCGCTGCGACACGAGCTGTCGAGTGGATCGTCGTCGATCGCTCGCCTGCCCTTACCAGCCTCGAACGTATCCCTATCCCTAAGGTTGACACGCCAAGAGGCGATGACAGACTTAGGGATTCGCCCTCAAAAATAAGGGAATCCCTGAGATTGGCATCGTGATGAGGAGGTGCCCAGCTTATGGATAGGGATATGTTCCAGGCTGGTAAACAAGCTGTCGAGTGGATCGTCGTCGATCGTTCGCCTGCCCTGCCGTCGATCCTCGGCGTCATCATCCGACCATCGCGAAGGGGCTCGGCGCCTCTGCCGAGCGCGCGCGCGGCCGTGGGCGGAAGAGGTCACCGTGGCGCTCGGGGTGGTGCAGCAGGCCGCCACGCCGCCGCGCGCCGGGCTCCTGGGCGCGCGCGCGCGCGGGCGTGCGTGCCGCGGCCCTGGCGGGCCGGCGGAGGGCCCCTCTTGGGCAGCGGCTGCGCTCGGCCAGGACGGGCTCGGCCCGGCGGAGTCCGGCCGGCCGAGTGCAGACCTGGCCGAGTCCAGCCTGGCCGAGTCTGTCTTGGCCGACTTCAGTCGCTGCCCGAGCAGCTGCGCTCGGCCAGGCCGGGCTCGGCCCGGCGGAGTCCGGCCGGCCGAGTGCAGACCTGGCCGAGTCCAGCCTGGCCGAGTCTGTCCTGGCCGACGTCAGTCGCTGCCCGACTCATCTGGCTGATCTCGGCTACGCTGCACTCGGCCCGGGCCGAGGGCAGCCTGGCCGAGGGCAGCCTGGCCGAGGTCAGCCTGGCCGAGTTCAGCCTGGCCGAGTTTCTCCTGGTTGAGCCTGGTTGGGCTGGCATCGCAGGCGGTTCCCGAGCGTGTTTGAAGGTTTCTCTGGGCTCCTTGGGTTTTTCGGACCCTGGGGTGGGTCTCCATCCCCTCCGCTCTGTCGAGCGCTCTCAGGGGAGCCGGCAGTTACTCCAGACGGCCGCTCGAGGCTCGAGTCAGGCCCCCCCCAAGCCAAAGGATTCTAGCTCGCAGGCGACTGCTCTGGTCAGGACATTCCAGGAGGGCAGAGAAATACCACAGGTACCTTTGCATTCACGGTGCAGTTGGACCAGTCGGATAGTTCTACAGATGTATATATATACACCTATACGACCACCCTTCGGGTGATAAGGAGGTTCGGGGGGGGGGAACCAACGTCTCACTCGATCGGTCTCACTATCGATCTCAGTATCGATCTCACTATCGGTCTCGCTCGATCGATCTCACTCGATCGATCTCACAATCGATCTCACTCGATCTATCTCATTCGATCGATCTCACAATTGATCTCACAATCGATATCACAATCGATCACACAATCGATCTCACATTCGGTCTCAATATCGATCTCACCATCGATATCACAATCGCTCTCACAATCAACGTCATCATCATCATCATCATCATCATCATCATCAACATCATCAACATCAACATCATCACAAACATCGTCATCATCATGAGGGCACCGTCATCATCATCATCATAAACATCATCATCAACGTGAGCATCATCATCGGGACAACATCATCATCTTCACCACCATCATCATCTCATCATCAACATCATCATCATCATCCTCATCATCATCGGAACACAGTCATCGTCATCATCAGCAGCATCATCATAATCATCATCATAATCGGGACACCATCATGAGCACCATGGTTTTCATCATCAACATTATCATCAACATCGTCATCATCCTCGGGACACCATCATCATCATGATCATCTCATCATCATCGTCGACATCATCATCATCAACAACAACATCATCATCATTGGAGCACCATCATCATCATCATGAGCAGCATCATCATCAACATCGTCATTATCATTATTGAGTCGCTTCGCTCATTCCGCCGGCCCGTGATATGGCATCGCTGGTTTTTGTCTGTGTGTTCGTTGCCCATGTTGCGGTCTTGGGGGCGGGTGTCGTTCGGACGCGTTGCGTGGGGAGTTTTGATGGTGAAGCAGTTCCCTGGGGGTCGTCTCTCGATGGGGCGAAATAGAGTCGTCGTCAAGATGCTTCTTTGGGGGCCTCTTGGGGTCTGTTGAGAGGCCGTTCGGGGGCGCCTGGGAGACATGTTTGAAGCCTTCTGGGGCTTCTTTTGGGCCTCCTGGGAGTCTCCTGGGGCCTCTTGGCGACATCTTGGGGCCTCTTGGAGGCCTCTTGGGGCCTCTTTGGGACCTCCTGGGCGCCTTCTGGGACGGAGGGCTCCATTTTTGAGTTCTCGGTATCCCTCCTGAGTCCCTCTTGGGCCCGTCTTGGGGCCTCTTGGTCCGTCTTGGGCGGCACTTGGGCCGTCTTGAGGGCTCTCTTGGGTCGTTTCGGCGCCGTCTTGGGAGCTTCGTGGGCCGTCTTGGAGCGGTCTTGGGGGCCTCTTGGGCCGTCTTGGAGCGTCCGGAAGCCGAAAAAGCCAGAACACAAAAAACATCGAAAAAAAACCAATGAAAATCAACGATTTTGGCCTCTTGGGGCTCTCTTCGGAGGCCTCTTGGAAGGCTCTTGGGGCGTCTTGGAGGCCTCTTGGGCTGTCTTGGGGGCCTTTTGGGCCGTCTTGGGGTCATCTTCGGCGTCTTCGAGCGCTCTTTGGGCGTCTCGGGGGCCTCTTGGGCAGTCTTGGGGGCCTCTTGGGGCACTCTGAGCGCGCTCTGGGGAGCCTGAGAGGCCGCACCCAGAAGGAAAACCATCTCTGAGTAGACTTGGTCGGGCGGCGGTCGGGCGGCGACCGGGCGGCGACCGGGCGTTGGTCGGGGTACTTTTCGCCGGGGGACCCCCAGGGGCCGCCCCGCGCGCGCGAACTAGAAATACTGTTAATACTGTTAACCAGTTACCGGAGATCTTAGCACGCCCTGGCCCGTTGGGCCGGCGAATTATCATCAACATCGTCATCATCATTATTATCATCATCGGGACACCGTCAGCATCACTATCATCATCATCACCATCATCATCATCATTATCAGCATCATCATCGGGACACCATAGTCATCATCAACATCATCATCATCAACATCATTATCGCCGGGACACCATTTCCATCAACATCATCATCACCAACATCATCGGAATCATCATCATCATCATCATCATCAACATCATCAACATCATCAACATCAACATCATCACAAACATCGTCATCATCATGAGGGCACCGTCATCATCATCATCATCATCATCATCATCATCATCATCATCATCATCATCGGGACACCATAGTCATCATCAACATCATCATCAACATCATCATCGCCGGGACACCATTTCCATCATCCACATCATCGGAATCATCATCATCATCATCATCATCATCAGCATCGGGACACCATCATCGTCATCATCATCAACATAATCATCATGATCATCGTCATCCTCATCATTGGGACACTATCATTTTCATCGACACCATCATCAACATCATCATCATCTTCATCGGGACACCATGTTCATCATCATCTCATCATCATCATCACCATCACCATCATCATCATCATCAGCATCATCATCATCATCATCATCATCATCATCATCATCATCATCATCATCATCATCTCATCATCATCATCATCCTCGCGGGACACCGCGGGACACCGGCGGGACACCGCGGGACACCGCGGGACACCGCGGGACACCGCGGGACACCGGCGGGACACCGCGGGCCACCGGCCGCCCGGAAGGGAGTCATTTGGTCCGGCCGCGCCTCAGCCACACGGGACACCAGCGGGACACCGGCGGGACACCGCGGGCCACCGGCCGCCCGGAAGGGAGACATTTGGTCCGGCCGCGCCTCAGCCACAGGAGATTTTCTCTCGCCCGCCCACGCAGCTTCGCCTCGCCCGCACGGCACGCACGAAGACGAAACCGAAATCGATTTCCCGGTAGGGGGGCTCTCCGTTCCACTTCGATCTCACCCCCCAACCTCCGATATATATATATATATATATATGTAGAGAGAGATACAGCTACATCTATATATACAGATATGTAGAGAGAGAGAGAGAGAGAGAGAGCGCGTGATCCACTGCCGCTTTGCTGTGGAAGATTCCCCCCCCGTCTTCCTCCAGAACCCCGAGCCCCCCCCATCTCTGAACATCCCCTGCTCGACCCCTCTCCCCGGCAAGAACCCCCCCCCTGGAAAACCTGGAGGGGTCACTACTGGTTCGAACCCACTGTCCCCACCGCTTCCGTCCCCACCATTGTCCCACTATTCCCGCTGTCCCTGCCATTGTCCCACTGTCCCCACTCTTCCCACCACTGTCCCTACTGTCCCCACCAGTGCCCCCACCACTATCGCACTGTCCCCACTGTCCCCGCCACTGTCCCCACCACGGTCCCACGCTCCCCACTGTCCCCACTGTCCCCACTGTCCCTACCACTGTCGCACTGTCCCCACTGTCCCCGCCACTGTCCCCGCCACGGTCCCACGCTCCCCACTGTCCCCACTGTCCCCACTGTCCCTACCACTGTTGCACTGTCCCCACTGTCCCCACCACTGTCCCACTGTCCCCACTGTTCCTACTGCTGTCCCACTGTGCTGTCCCACTGTCCCCACTGTCCCCATCACTGTCACACTGTCCCTACTGTCCCCACCACTGTCCCCACTGTCCCACTGTCCCCACTGTCCCACCACCATCCTCACCACCGCCCTCACCACTGTCCCCAGCACTGTTCCACTGTCCCCAACGTCCCCACCACTGTTTCACGGTCCCCTCACCACTCTTGGGGGGTGGCATTTATGTCTCCCTCCTCCGTACCCCAAGCCCTCTCGCCCGTGGCGGTCTTCGTCCCAGATCTTCTGGATTTTGGACAGCACAACGCCCCCAGCCCCAGCCAGGACCCCCACTTTCGGCCTAGTGATTCAGGGGGTCTTGGCGGGCGGTGGGGGAGGTTTTTTGGCCCCCAAGAGCCTCCCCCCTTTCCCCCCCCCCCCCCCAGCCAGTAACCCCTGGGTCACCAGGTCGGGAGTGGGGGTCCCGGCTGGAGGATGGGGGTGGGTTGTGCTGTCCTCATCTCCCTCGTCTCCAGGAGCGTCCCGACGATCCCGAGCGGCCCCGGAGCCGGAGGCGAGTGAAGGGCCGAACTCCGACCCCGCAGCCAAGTGTCGGCATGGGTTATATGTCTGTTTGTTATTGTTTTGTTTCTGCCCTGGCTTGCTGTCTTTTCCAGCACTTGGTGGCAGAGTCGTCGAGCTGGCCAGCCCAGCGAGGGCAAGCCAGACTGAGCTGGGAGCACACGTGTGCAGCGGCAGGCACCCCCCAGCAGAACCAGAGGGAGAGGAACGTGAAGCTCCTGCCCCTCCTCCTCCTGCTCCTCCTCCTCCTCCTCCTCCTCGGCGCGGCGGTAGCCGCGGGGGTTAAACAAAAGACTGGGCCAGTTGAGCGGTGCTCAGTTTTTTATAGCGCGGCCGGGTCCCACCCCCGTCGCCAACGCGGGGATAGCCGCAGCGCGCCTTTCGGGTCCTGCTCGACGTCGTTCTACAGGCCGTTTGAGCCCTACTGGGCTCCCAGGAAGTGTCCCTGGCCCGGCACCTTTGGCGCGACCGCCACGACGATTTTCTTTTGGATATCGTTAACATAAAACCAGACTGCTTTCCCAGATTGGTTTCCCCTGTTGCCTCCCCCCCGTGCCCATCCAATAGTTTTGACCCTCAGGGCGCGCACAAGGTAGGTGTCGAGACTTTTGGAGTCGAAGAGGATTGGCATGAACTTAATAGCTTTTTTTGCAGTCGCTGCAGCTTCGTGAAAATGGAGGGGTGCGGCCGCGTCGCAGGGGGATAAGGAAAATGAAGGGGCAAGTGAAAGGGGAAGGTAAGGAGGATGAGGGTGAGACTTAGGATGAGCTCCAGAGTAAGCCCAAGATGCCTCAATGATGCTGCAATATTTGAAGAACGAGTATGTGCATTATCTTGATTTCTCAGATGTGTGCGCGAATTTCGGCGCTGGCCCCCCCTGGCGGCGCATCGGGAGCAGCCCGTGGCGCGCCCAGCGCGCTACCTTAGGGTGGTGGGCCCAGCGTCGATCCACAAGATCCGCGCGGATCTCTAAGAAATCAGCTGGTCCCAAGTTCTTTCTTCAGAAGCCTCTGTTCGCAGCGGGGATGAGCGACCCATGGTCCCAGGCGAGAGTATTTTGTTGTAAAACAAAACATCCATCTACCACAGCAAAAAAAGGCGACGCGGTATCATTACAACATCTAGGGAAGTGTCCAGCGCGAGTCCCTCTCTTCGAAAACGTGTTTGCCTCAACCCGTGGTATGTTTCTGCAAACGTCTGGTCATACAATTTTTGAGTAATCGGCGAGCGATACCCCCGACTTGAGAACATGAGCTGCCCCCCTCCTGCGTAGAGGTGGCGCTTGTCTTGATTTCTGGCCATAGAAGTGAAAGGATCTCCCCAAACGAAACTTGCAGTTTGGAAAAGATGTGCCCTCTTTCCGTATTAGCTTTTGAGACGAAACCTGTCGGCGCGAGGGCAATATCAACATTATGGAAACCAATCGCTCTCGATCCGTGCAAGTGTTGGATGCTTATACCACGACTCTGCACGGCTTTAAGACGACCGCCACACTAACAACACAGTCCCACCATGCTTGTAACTACTGGCATCAGCTAAAACGAGCGTGCGCGGCGCTAACGCGGCGAGCCGCATTTTGGAGACCATCCGCCCTCAATTCGTGTAGCCGTCGGAAGGTTTTCAGACGAATGTGCGAGTCGCCAGGGCACCACCCATCCATGCCTTTCTCGGGCCCCAGGCCCAGGGACCGTCAAAGAACGACTGGGGGTGAAAAAGTAGTCCCAGGGTAAGGCCTTGGGGTCCATGACCCGCTTCTTTCGTGGCGAATGGGTCACAGGTCCCCCCCTACCTTCCAAGGGGCCTTCTGGGAAGCCCCGTGACCCTTCTGAGAGGCCTCCCCGCTCGTCTGTCTGCGAAACCTGCCGCGTGCAGCTGTTTTCGCCTCTGCCGTCGGGCCCTTTCCTTGATGCTGATGCGTGTCCGTCTCTGGCGCCAGGAGGCGCCGGGAAAACCAGCCGCGCGAGCTGATTCGCGAAGCCCTCCTGTCACCCTGATTCCCTACCTAGGCTCTGCCTAGAAGGGTTCTTACTCTCTTAGCTTAAAGGGGCCAGGCAGTGCTAAGCGCCCCGGGCGGTTCCCCCAGTCCCCGCCCCGCGGTTCCCTCAGTCCCCTGGGAGCTTTAGCTTTAGCTTAGCTTTAGCTTAGCTTTAGCTTAGCTTTAGCTTAGCTTTAGCTTGGCTTTAGCTTAGCTTTAGCTTAGCTTTAACTTATCTTTATCTTAGCTTTATCTTAGCTTTAGCTTAGCTTTAGCTTAGCTTTAGCTTAGCTTTAGCTTAGCTTTAGCTTAGCTTTACCTTATCTTTAGCTTAGTATTAGCTTACATTTAGCTTAGCTTTAGCTTAGCTTTAGCTTGGCTATATCATAGTTTTAGCTTAGCTTTAGCTTAGTTCCAGCTTAACTTTAGCTTAGCTTTAGCTTTAGCTTTAGTTTATCTCTAGCTTAGCTTTAGCTTTAGCTTAGCTTTAGCTTAGCGTTAGCTCGGCTTTAGCTTAGCTTTAGCTTGGCTTCAGCTTAGCTTTAGCCTAGCTTTAGCTTAGCTTTAGCCTAGCTTTAGCTTAGCTTTAGCTTAGCTTTAGCTTAGCTTTAGCTTAGCTTTACTGTTGCTACTACTGCTGCTTTCCTAGGGGCTCCAACTCCTAGGTAGGGTCGCACTGGGATCATTTTTTCAGACTGCAAACATATACCCTTCCAGACCTGTAGACTCGTCTGGGCTGCCGAGAGCCTGGATGAGAGTTCAGATGCGAAGGTCCTGGTGCTGTTTTTTCAGCCCTCCTGGGAGGTCAGGGAGCTCTCTCCTGGGAGGAGGAGGAGGAGGAGGAGGAGGAGGAGGAGGAGGTGGAGGAGGACGAGGAGGAGGTGGAGGAGGAGGAGGAGGAGGAGGAGGAGGAGGTGGAGGAGGAGGAGGAGGAGGAGGAGCCTTCCTCCCTTCCTCGTCGGGCCCATGCTCATCCCCAGTGGGCCGGGGCTCCGCAGTGCCGCCAGCCTGCCCCCCTCGGGGTGGGGACGGGCGCCGCGAGGCCTGGCGGGCCCGGCGCCCGGGCCGCTGAGGAAGGAGCCCTTTTCGTTCGGGGTGGGGCTCAGTTCGGGTTGACCCAAAAGGGGGTCCAGCGACAAGGGAATGGTGCAATATATGTGGAGCAATCTATTCGTGGGGTTGCAATACATCTGGGGATATCTATATCTTTATATGTATATATATGTACACACGTATATACATACGTGTATGTATGTATGTATGTATGTATGTATGTATATATATACATATATATATATATATATATATATTCCGGGGCGCAAATGTGTTGCTGGAGTTTCGGGTGCAACACATTACTTGTACTACAATGCAATACAACTTTCTCTGGCGCAATGCATTTGCAATACACTTGCCCCAAATTTACTGCACCACCCCCTTTCAGCTGGACCCCCTTTTGGGTCACCTTAATCAGTGCTCCTTCTCTGTTTTACAGCTGGTCTTGGGTTGTCCTTAGGTTTTCTCTGGGACGTCGAAGCTTATGACTTATGGGGAAAAAGGGGGCCTCGTTCCTTCCTTCGTGTTCCTCATGACAGCGCTCCGACTGCAGAGCGGGCAGCGGGGCCAAGGCTTCCTGGTGGGCAGCAGGGGTGTCGGCGGAGGGCGAGTCGTGGACGACGGCAGTTCTCCCGCTGGGGTCGAAACAACCAGCACAGAGTCGGTCCCGGAACCCTTCTGGGCACGATCGTTCTTTTCTCTTTCCCAAGCCAGCACTCCTCGCGGCCATGCGTGGTCAATATGTCGCGATCCGTCTGGAATCATATGGAGTCGTACGGATGAGTACCCGCCTCGCATCGGCCCCGGAGAGCCCACTTCGCCCAGGCGCGTGCGGTCTCGTTGTGGGGGGCCCATCGCCGACCTCTCGGCGAAGCATGGCCGACTCCGGCTCGAGGTTTGCTCCTTGGGCGGGTCCCCTCATGCCTCTGGGGTGCGCGTGGTGCGCCTGTCTCCGGCATTCTCCGAGAGGTGTGAAGCTGCAATGACGAACGAACAACACACACACACACCCATACCCATAGGGAGGTCGTTGGGAGGAGGACTGTCTATGGGTATGGGTGCGGGTTGTCGGACCCTGGGGAACGCTCCCGTTCGAGCGGGGACCCCCATCCGACAACACGCACCCATAGCCCTCTCCGATCCCTCTATGGGTATGGGTGTGTGTTGTTGGTTCGTCATGCAAGGTGGAGCACACGAAGTCGCGAGGGAGGTACTGCTGAGGCCTTGCGGCCAGAGCCGCCGACCCTGGACGACGACCCCCACGAAGGAAGAAGCTCCTGCCCCGGACTTCCTCCGAGAGGTGTGAAGCCGCAAGGGGGAGCACGCGAAGTCGCGAAGGAGGTATTCTTAGTGGCCACCTGCAGCGAAGGTTCCCCCTCACGGAGGGGCCCGCCCTGCCCTTTCGACCAGCCCAAGGGCGTCCAGCTGGCGCGCCCGGGCTCCCCCCCCTCCCGCGGGAAGGTGGAGTACGACGCCGAGCAGCCGCGGGGCGCTGCGCGGAAGGGGACCCCAACAGGCGACCGGCTGGGCTGGGGGCGGGGAGGACGAGGCGGACGAGGAGGAGGACTGACGCTACAGTCTGTATGGATCGGAGTCGCACCCGCCCAAGAGGAGGAGGAGGAGGAGGAGGAGGAGGAGGAGGAGGAGGAGGAGGAGGAGGAGGAGGAGGAGGAGGAGGAGGGGGAGGAGGACGAGGAGGAGGAGGAGGAGGAGGAGGAGGGGAAGGAGGAGGAGGGGGAGGAGGAGGAGGAGGAGGAGGGGGAGGAGCAGGACGTAGGTAGAATACTAAGCAGGCCCCCCCCAGGAAAAAGCTTGGCACGAAGGGGCCTCCTGCATTCTCTCCTCTCGCCCCTGCGTCGAGTGAGGTCGCGTCGTCGTCCTCCCCCTGCTCTGGGGGCCCTGGTCGCCCAGCGCTCCCCCGTCGGAATGGGCGCGCGAGTGGGCCGACAGCTGCTCACCCCGCACTGACCCGTAAGGACGCGTGCCCACAAGGTAGCGAGTCTCTCTTACGGGGCCACCTCGGAGCTTGCCCCTTGGAGTGTCGGGGCATGCCCCCTGCCGGCCCCATGTAAAGTCTGGAGGAGGAGGGGGAGGAGGAGGACCCTCGCTCGAGCCCGATCTCGCCGCTCGGGCGCGCTGTACGACGCTGAGGCCTCAGCTTTCCAGGCCAGCACTCCTCGCTGTGGCGCGGTTGAAGGTAAGCGCGGTGAGGACAGACGCTCGGCGCTCGGCTGCGTGCGTGGAGGCGGAGGATGAGGACCAGTGTGAACCAAGACGCATCAACGATGTTGCAATAAGCCCTCCTACCGAGTTTCCTCTTCATAGGTCCCGTCACGCATTTGTGTTCGCTGCGGGAACTGCCCCATTAGAAGACAGCCGTCTGAGAATCCTCAATGGTGCCCAAAATCCCGGGACATCAATGCTGCGAGTCAACGTGGTTGTTGCCTCCGGACAATCTTAAATCGCGCCAAAGCACAATTCCTTGGACTTCAACGCCGCGAATCAAAGGGACGGTTGCGTCCTGACAAGCCCAAATCGTGCCAGACCGCAATCATTATTGGGATGTCAGGTCTACGATTCTTTGAATCTGCTGCAGGCTTGTAAGACTACTTCGCGTGGTGCTAAGGCGAGAGCCACGTTTGAAGAGGAACCGCCCTTCATCCTCGAATATGGTGCGCACTTTTACGACGAGTGTGCGCGGCGCTGAGGGGAGAACCACATTTAAACAATTATCCCAGTGCGACCCTACCTAGGAGTTGGAGCCCCTGGGAAAGCAGAATTAGTAGTAACGGTAAAGCTAAGCAAACACTAAGCTAAAGCTAAGCTAAATCTAAGCTAAAACTAAGCTTCAGCTAAGCTAAAACTAAGCTAAAGCTAAGCTAAATCTAAGCTAACGCTAAGCTAAATCTAAGCTAAAGCTAAGCTAAAGCTAAGCTGAAACCAAGCTAAGGCCAAGCTAAAGTTAAGCTAAAGCTAAGCTAAAGCTAAGCTACATCTAAGCTACAGCTAAGCTAACTATAAGCTAAAGCTAAGCTGCAGCTAATATTATGCTATGCTGTGCTATGCTATGCGCTATGCTACGCTAAGCTAAGCTACATTAGGCTAAGCTAAACTCAGCTAAGCTAAGCTAAGGTAAGCCAAGCTAAGCTAAGCTAAGCTAAGCCGAGCTAAGCTAAGCCAAGCTAAGCTAAGACGAGATACGCTAGGCCAAGCTAAGGGGGCGCTATGCTAAGCTATGCTAAACTATGCTATGCAATACTGTGCTATGTTATGCTGTGCTATGCTATGCCATGCTATGCTATGCTACGCTAAGCTAAGCTACATTAGGCTAAGCTAAACTAGGCTAAACTAAGCTAAGCTAAGGTAAGCCAAGCTAAGCTAAGCTAAGCCAAGCTCAGCTAAGCCAAGCTAAGCTAAGACGAGATAAGCTAAGCCAAGCGAAGGGGGCGCGACTGGGGGAACCGCGGGGCGGGGACTGGGGGAACCGCCGGGGGCGCTTAGCACTGCCCGGCCCCTTTAAGCTAAGAGAGTAAGAACCCTCTAGGCAGAGCCTAGGTAGGGAACCATGCGCCCTCCTTCCATGAAACTGTTGCGAGCCTGCGAGACGAATGAGCGCAGCGCTGAGGCGAGAGTGTTCCACGGAGCACTTGCAATCTGCACCGCATCGCCCACACGAATCGTAGTCTCCATACACCATGTGGTAAGCTCCGCAGCCGCCCGAGATCCTCACCCCTAGAGTCTCCCAGAGGCCCCCAGAGGCTCGACAAGGGCCAGAAACGGCCGAAACCAGCGCGATTCAGGAAAAACCGGTCTTGATCCGCTCCTCCTTGATCCGCTGGCTCTTGCCCCGTGGCGCCTGGATTGACACATCTGGAGATTATGGGTACACTCGTGTACATGAGACGTGCGGCACTCGCCGTTACGTCGGGGAGCATTCTGTTCCCACGGCGCTTATGTTTTTTCTGGCCCACTGTCGTCCACCAGGGGCTGCGCAGAGTATGCTGGACGGGGCTACGACGGGTAAGTCCGTTCCAGAGCGTTCCGGAACGTTTTCAGAGCATTCACTCTGAGAAGGGCGCGGCGCCCGAGACATCCTCCAGATCCGCCAGATCTCAGAGATTTTCGATTCACCTTCACCCGTTTTTATCCTCGCCCTGACTTGGAGCCCGTTCGGAAAACCACCCGGCGATCACACGCGTGATCGGCCCCCCCCCC